GATGATGATGATGATGATGATGATGATGATGATGATGATGATGATGATGATGATGATGATAAGGGTTCTGGTGCTGCTGCTGCTGCTGCTGCTGTTGATGCTGATGATGATGATGATGATGATGATGATGATGATGATGATGAGGGTGTTGCTGCTGCTGCTGCTGCTGCTGTTGATAATGATGATGAGATGAAGGTACTGCTGCTGCTGGTGCGGTTGCTGCTCGAGTCGGTCTTTTGGTGCAGCTAAGGCTGCTTCTGGTGGTGCTTCCCGCTGTGGCTGCCTGCTGCCTGCTGCTGTTGTTGCTGTTGTTGCTGCTGTTGCTGCTGCAACGCTGCTGGTGCTGCTGCTGATGCTGGGGTCGCATATGTAGCTCTGAACCTACGGCACTTCGCTGGTTCACGGACTGAATTCCTGGGTGTTCCTGTTGGCGTTGCTGCTGCTGCTGCTGCTGCTGCTGCTGGCATTGCTGCTGTTGCTGCTGTTGGTTTTGGTGCCGCAGCTCGGCGTGCCTTCTGCTGCGGAGCGTTTGCTGATGCTGCGCAAGATGCTTCGGAACATACCGCATTGTCTCACGGAAGCCGACATCAAAGAAGTCAGTAGCCGCTGCTGCTGCTGCCACTGCTGCTGCTGCTGCTGCTGCTGCTGCTTCCCGCGGATCGTGCGAGCAGCAGGCGCTTGTGCTGCTGGCTGTGCTGCTGCAGGTGGCGGAGAACACGCAGGCGTTCGTGGCGGCGGACTTGGCGCTGCTGCTGCGGACGGCGGCGACGGCCGCGCTGCGGAAGAGCCTGCTGCTGCAGCAGCAGCAGCAGCAGCAGCAGCGGGCCCTGGGGCGCGGGGACTTCGCTGCTGCGCTGCGGGCTGTGAGGCCCTCCGGCCTCAAAGCCCTTGCATGCGAAGTGCCCCAAGTGACCTGGGAAGACATCGGGGGCTACTGTGGGGCGAAGCTGCTGCTGCAGCAATGTGTGGAGTGGCCTGTGAGCCACAGCAGCAGCTTCCAGCAGCTGCGGCTGCTGCCCCCCAAGGGTTTGCTGCTCTACGGGCCCCCCGGCTGCAGCAAAACCCTCCTCGCCAAGGCAGTCGCCACCGAGTCCAAAATGAACTTCCTCTCAGTCAAGGTCAAACCCTAAACCCTAAACCCTAAACCCTAAACCCTAGGCCCTGCTCGCCCCCCACGGGCCTTCGAAACCCTAAGAAGCCCTGATAAACCCTCAGCACCAGCTGCGGCGATCCGCGCTTCACGAAGGGTTTAGGGTTTAGGGTTTAGGGTTTAGGGTTTAGGGTCTAGGGTCTGGGGTTTAGGGTTTAGGGTTTAGAGTTTGGGACATGGGAGTTTTAGGGTTTCATTGCTCTGCAGGGGCCGGAGCTGTTCTCCAAGTGGGTCGGCGAATCAGAAAAGGCAATTAGGGATTTATTTAGGTGAGTTGCTGCTCCCTGTGATAGCAGCAGCAGCAGCAGCAGCAGAATTTGCTGCTGCTGCTGCTGCTGCTACTGCTGCTCGCAGTTGCTGCATTCGCGCTTTGGCGCTGTTGCTGCTGCTGCAGCGCACGTGCCTCTACTGCAGCTGCAGCGGCAGTCCCTTGCTGCAGCAGTAACACCTTTGCTGCAGCAGCAGTCTGCAGCAACATGTTTCCGCTGCAGCAACTTCTAAAAGTGCAAATATGCTGCAGCAAAAA